GAAAATTGTCGGCCAGTCAACGTACAAATAACCACTGATGACTACTAGAGTTTGAATAATCTACCACTGCTAATGTTTAGGGGGTGTTTGTTTTTGATTTTTTGATTTTACGGTAAATTAATTCTTATTTTCAACTACACATTTTTCAATAAAATAATATTTTCCATCACGCCAATAGTTTTTTTCTTCCTTTTCAACCCCATATTTCTCATCATATCACTATTCAAAAATCAATTATTCCCCCAAAAATCCTACCAAACAAGCTCTTAATATCGACAGGTGACATTAGGGAGTGTTTGACATCCATTTTAATGGGTTGAAAAATTTTGGAATAGTGATTGATGAGAGAATGTGTGGTGGAAAAGTGATGAACAGTTTTAAATTTGTGTGTAATATTATTTTATTTGTAGATTGTGTGGTTGAAATGAAAAAAAAAGAACGACAATGAGAAAGAGAACGAGTGACAAACAGTGGCTAAATTAAGTGTTAAATTAAAATACAGTATTATAACATATAATATGTTGACATCTAAATTGGTATTCAACGCCAATGGCGATAGATAGCATTACTCATTGAATATGTTCCTAAATTTCTTTGAGAGTGATTATGATAGTGAAAAATAATATGGGTTATGAGTTCATGAATAAGATCTCAAATGATAGTGACGAAGTGCCATAAAAATTAGTTCAATATGAAAATAAAATCATTTTGGTTATAGTTTCAAGAATTACATCAAAATATTTTATGATTAAAGACGTTTAGTTTTGTCAATAAAGTTTCAAAACATAATATTCTAACACAATTTTCGTTCTTAGTTTCCTAGGATATTTGATTCCAAATTTCAATAGAAACGATAACCCCATTTCTCATTTTCTCTCCCATTTTGAATTTTGGTACACTAATTGAAAACTAGATACCTTATTACTATTTATTTTTATTATTTTTAATTATTTTAATTTTATTTTATTATTGCCAAAAGTATACATATTTTGACTTTATATTTATTGACTCAAAATCCATTAAAATCTTAAGGTCAGGCTGAAATTCCAAAAGAGCTTTGTATTTATATTTATGAGTTTACAATCTACTAAAATCTATTAAAATTTTGAACCCTAAATTTTAATAGAATATGTTAGAATTTGAGTTGGACGCATAAACTTTTATGGAATTTTTAAAATCCTTTAACATTTACGCTATATTTAATTAGTATGTTTGACTCTATAACTAAACAAAATTACATAGGTGTCATCAACTTGAATTTTAAAATACAAATTTATATTTTAATATATTCCATTAAAATTTAATTGCACCTAATAGGTCTAGACATTTTAATCGAAATCGAACCTCCGGAATCGAAATCGAATCGGAACTAGAGGTTCCAGTTTGATTTTAAAAAAAAATAATTAGGAATTGGAACCGAGAACTAACTTGGTCTGAGCCGATTCTTGATTTCTGAACCAGAATCGTGGGTATCGAATGAAATTGATTTTCTATATAATTTTTTTTATTTACAATTTATAGGCTAGGTAAAAAAAAAAAATACAAAACTTAAAAATACTAATTTGGATAGTAATTTATCTAAAATTCTATACTCTTAACCTTTAGAAATCAAGATTGACTCCTATTTTTTGGTCTATTGTCTCACATCAAATTGCTGTATTTCAGATGTTAGTGCATATTAATCTTTACAATTTGGGCTTTCTATGAATAAAAAAATTGAAAATAGATTGTAATGTAAGTTGATGAATCAAAGCGTTCATTTTTTACAATTCAAGTTTTTTACTTTCTTGTATTATTTAAAAACTTAAGCAATTTTTTTTTTATAATACGTGGAAATTNNNTTTTTTTTTATAATACGTGGAAATTGAATTTAATATATTCATAGCTTGACTATGGTGTACCTTTATTGTTATCTTGAATTCGTTCTGAAATATAATTTTTCTTTTTTTTTTATTCAAATAGAGAGTTCAATATGTGGATTGCATTCTTGATACTATATAGTTATTTATCCATTAGTGTTTTTAATTCATTTTATGTGCAAAAGAATTTAAGCATTGTCCATAATTAAATTGTAGAGTCTAGCATGCCTCACTTATGGATTGAATAAGATTTATTAAAAAAATAATAATTTCTTCTCAAACTGTAATTTAATTTTTAATTTTCTCTTCTTGTGGTTTTTTGTCTCCACTATTTTATTTAATGAAGATTTCTTAGCTGAATCTTTTCACTTTGACAAATATTGTTAAGTAGTAACATATTATGTATATATATTGAAATGACTTATATGAAAATGTTTATTAAATATATATAAAATATAGTTTCGGTATAATTGAACCCAAACCGAAACCGATAGTTTGTATTTGAGTTTGATTACAGTAATTAGAAGGACCCGAATTGTTCCATTTTCGAAATGCCCAAAGCGTAAAGGGTGATTTTGGATATTGAAATGCCCAAACTGATCCACCCGATGTTCAAGCCTACTCCCTAACTTGTGAATTTCTAAGCATTTTATTAATTTCAAAGATTTTAAAAGATTTAGTAGATTTCGATCAATAAGCTCTCTAGGAATTCCTACACCATCCCTAAGATTTCAATGGATTTGAAGCTAACAAATATAAAGTCAAATTATTTAACATTTTGACAAAAATAAAAGAAAGTAAATTAAGCAAGAAATAAAAATAAAAATAAATAGTAATAAATATCTCATTTTTAACTCTCGTACTGAAATTCAAAGTGGGAGATAAAAGATAATGAGAAATATTATTCTCGTTCATATTAAAATTTGGAATTGAATTTTTATTTTATGCTACTAAGAAGGAAGATTGAATTAGACCACTTTGTTTTTGAAAATTTTTTAACCAAATAAATGTTAGATAAAAATTATAGTAGAATA